AATAAATAAATAAATAAATAAATAAATAATGTAAAAGAAAAGACAAGACAAGAAAGTTCAGACATACAGCAGCTGTAATTCTTCTGAAGGCTGGTTATGGGACGCATTACTTTCATACTTTGTTGTTCAATAAATGTGGGGTGGAGAATAAAGTAAACTGACAGAACTACCATATAAACTAAAATTCTAAGTGCTCTGACAACAAAAGAAAGTTAAAATACACACACATACACACACACACACACACACACACAGAGACACACACACGGTTTTCCCTGCTAATCATTTTACAACTAAACAACCAAGTAGCTAACCCAGAGCCCACAAAAGCAGAGTAAAAATTCTAACACTTGGTGAAATAAAAATGCACATATACCCCTGTGAGCTAAAAAAAAAAATGCTTAAGTCTTCAAAGATAGCAGCAATTATAGCTACTGAGAACATCATTGCAAGCAAGCTGAGGCAGAGAAAATAAAGGTGCTGACGAGGAATTGAACCACCTAAGCTGCAGAAACCCACTGGATGGTTTCCTAGGTTTGGAGTTGGCATTATCTTTCAGAATGATTTCTGAAAGAGACACATAATACTGTTACAAAGGATCTGGAGAAAGGGATGCTTGCTTTATCACTCTGGCTCTCCAGTCATGCTTCACATTTTCACTGCTTACACTCTCTTTCATATGAAGTCAATTTACAGATTTCCATCAAGCCCTTAGAGATCTTTTTGTACACACGTTCTTGATGTTATCTCTGCACTTTTGACAAATTCTTAGCAGCTAACTTAAAAGGCAGTTAAGATTTTTGTTCAAGTACAATATAGCTAGAATAGGTTCATATACTCAATAAAACAAATATTTACTAAGCATTTATTGAGTGGAAGATAAAAAAGCACAAAGCATAATTATAAAATATTTTCCCCTGCCACCATAAAAAAAAACGTAAAAAGGCTTACAGAATATAGCATAACATGACCAAAGCAAAAATAGCAAGGACTAAAGAGGGGAGGAAGGGAAAATATCAGCATGAACTGAATATGACCCAGAAGAGCCTTGATGGTCAGACATGTAAAGAAAAATTGGGTAGGGTTAAGGGGTGGAGGTCAGGGACACGTTCTACAGGGGAAAAACAGCTGACACAGACGCCTGAAAGGAAAAGTGGGCGGAATACCTGCACAGGACTCTTACCTGCCGCCTCCACGGTACAATGGGCCTTTCCAGAACACAGCAGCGCAGCCAGGCCCCAGGGAGAGGGATCACTCAAACAGCACCAGAGGCTGCATTCCAACTTTTCCTCCGTCAACGAGTCCGTTTTCATTGTTAGTTTCTCCTTAAACACAAACTTAAAAACGATTGGCTGAACATGCAGGAACAAGGAAAACCTGACTGAAAAATGAGGCCTTAAAACTTAAGGGCCTTGGGTCCTAGTGCGGTGGCTCCTGCCTGGAATCCCAGCGCTTTGGGAGACAGAGGTGGGTCATTTAAAGTCAGGAGTTCGAGACCAGCCTGGCCAACACGGTGAAACCCTGTCTCTATTAAAAACACAAAAGTTAGCCAGGTGTGGTGGTGGGCGCCTGTAATCCCAGCTACTCGGGAGGCTGAAGCAGGAGAATCGCTTTAACTACTGAGATCGCGCCACTGCACTCCAGCCTGGGCGACAGAGTGAGACTGTCGCAAAAAAAAAAAAAAAAAAATTCTACCTCTCAAGTAGCTGGGATTAAGGCGCCTGACACCATGCCCGGCTAATTTTTGTATGTTTTAGTAGAGATGGGGTTTCACCATCTTGGCCAGGCTGGTCTCCAACTCCTGGCCTCAGATGATCCGCCCGCCGTGGCCTCCCAAAGTGCTGGGATTACGGGCGTGAGCCACCGCGCCCGGTCAAAAAAGCCGAAAATCTTAAAGGCCTTTTCCCTTCTGCGCCTGGGCTCAAACGACGCCAGAGCCGCCCTGCCCCGCCCTGTCACGGTCCCGGGAGCGGGCCGGCTGACTGAGAGAGACCTTGGGTCCCGAGAGGACTCCTGCCCCGCGGGCTCCCACCTGGGGGAGCGGCGACCGGGGCCAATTCGGGCCGGCAGCCCCCAAGCCAGCCCCGCGTGAGGAGCCGGAGACACGCGCCCTCTGCCTCCCATCCAAGCCTCGCGCAGTCACAGGGGCCAGGGCCGGGCTAGTCGCGGGAGAAAGAGGCAGGGAACCGGAGCCTCTCCCAGGCAGGCTCCCCTTTGTCCCGGGACTCCGGGCGCCCCCTCTCCGCCTTCGCCCTGCCCCGCGAGGCCGCTGCCGGGCGCCTCACCCTGATATTGCAGTGGAGCCCTGAGCGGCGGCTGGACTCCTGGTTCTTGTGGAAGATAGAACAGCCAGCAACTTCAGTTTGGCCTTGAACCCTGTCACCGACATCTTCCTCTCCTGTCCAGCGAGAGGGGCTCGGAAGGGAGAGCCTGTCGGGGGCAGCTGTCATTGCCGCGACCACCCGGCGACCGAGCTCTGGAGGCTCCGCCTCTCCCAGCCGCCTCAGCCTTTGTGGGAGCGCGGATGGAAAACGGCAAGGGGCACAGAGGCCTCCGCGGGAAGCTGTGTGGCGGCCTGGGGGGGCTGCTCCCTTTGTAACCAATTCCACCAACAGGAGGGGCGGCTCCTGTCAAGCCGCAGCTTAAAAGGGCAACAGCACCACCGTCCCCGCCATCGCCTCTGAAAGGGCTGCCCCCACCCTGCCACCGTCCCCGTCACCTCTCACCCCTCACCCCTCAACCCCGCGAGCCCCGCGCGCACGCGTTTCACGAATCCAGAGCGTGAGCGGGCTGCCTGCTGCCCCCTTCTCCCCTTGACCCAGCACCTTTCTGCCCGACTTGTCTGGTCCCTCCCTTCCTCACACTGGAAGCTCAGGGCGGCACGACCACCAACTCTCTGTGTGTGTGTGTGGAGAGAGAGAGAGAGAGAGAAGAGAGAGAGAGAGTTTCCGAAGGGAACAGAGCACTGCTGAGTGGACTGTCAGCAAAATACAGTCACAAGAAGGTATATGCTGTTTTGTCTTTTGCATTAGTTACTATTTGTTCTCAGTTCATATCCAGATTGTGTAAGTAGAATACCCCCAAACTGAAAGTCACTTACATAAAGTATAGTGAAAAATATGTCATCCACTTAAACTATAGTTGAAGATGTGTATACATTAGTTTCGTGTAGCCAACATTAGATGACGGGTAAGGGCACAGGATCCCGTGGCTAGACTGCCTGGGTTCAAGTTCCAACTTAGCCACTTGCTGGCTGTGAAATACTTGACAGCTTTAAGCTTCAATTTCTTTTTTTTTTTCTTTAAATGTAATCCCAAATGTGATAGTCTCAGTTTCTTGATCTGAAAAACAGAAATTATTCAATCAGAGTCTACATGAAAACTAAAGTTTTTGAAGCCACTGCCTGGCTCAGGAAAGTCCTCAGCTTTAGCCGTTATTAGCTATGATTATTATTGTGTTGGCTACATGTGCATTCATGAGTCAGGAAAATGCTCAAGGATAACAACCAAGTATCCAAATTATCTCACCAGACTGAGAGAGATGCATGTGTGCATGCTCATGTTTCAGCTCAGAGCCTTTTGACTAGAAGGTTCTTGAACTCAGAGGCCCAAGCATTATCAACTTGACTTTGCAGTGGAGCCATCACTTTTGTTGATCAATAAAATTGACATAATGTTCTTTTTTTTTTTTTTTTTTTTGGAACCAACCATGTGCCTAGAGCTAACTGTGTCAAGAGCATGCTTCAGTTGACTGGAGTGAGCAATTCAACTTGTGAGGAATGAGAAATGTTAGATTTGAGACAAGAAACATAAAACCCCAGGGTAAGGTAGGAATCACTGAAAGTCAGGCAAAGGACCTGGCATCCAGTAATGAGTTAGGCTTTTCCGGCGTCTGGCCCTACAGATGGCTCTTTGGAGAAGAAAAAATCAAGCTAGGCCTGAAGGCACAGATCCTAAGGGAATGCTGGCAGCTCTAGGCTATCTATGGAAGAGAAGCAGAGGGTGGCACCTGGTTGAAAGAGGGGTCTGGGGGACATAGCTTGAGCCTGTGTTTACAGATAGAGTCTGCTGATTCCTGCGACTGGGGAAGGAGATCATGCCCGGATCAGGGGACCTCAAATCAGAACTCTTCCCACCCACTCTGCTTCTTTTCAGGGCATCTTTCATTGCAAACAACAGATAAACTAGTTGGAAAGCTCAGCAGATTCTCACGGTGGTGCCTAGCAGGCCAGGCCTAGCTGCCCTTTAACCTGTGACTGAGGATGATGCCACTGGCCTGTAAACACACATTGGAAAATCTTTACATCCATGGACACGCCATGCCCACAGAGATAGCAGTGCATGGTTCTTTAGGTTTGGGGTGCTGTCCTGGCAGTTGCCTTATAAATATGTAGGATTAAAATGGGAGGCCCTGGAACTTAGGTAACCTTTACCCCCTCCTCCCAAAATGAAGGGGCGCTAGTTTTGTTAGCTTTATGAAAGATGGATCTGTCACTGTTTTTAGAACTTTTGGAGAAAGATTTCTTGGGAGGAAGCTATCCTGAACCCCCAGAGATTTTCTCATTTACAGGTGCACCAGCTTTAGAGTCCTAGGTCTTCATCCTGGCTTAGCCACCCTCCAGCTGTGTGACCTTTGAGAAGTTGCTTGACTACATTGAGTCTTGTTGTCACCTATGAGTGGAGGTTGCTACATTGCTACTGTGTGAAGCACCTACCCCCAGGCAGTCTTACAGGGTGATGGTGAAGATTAAATGCAATAGTAAGGCTGAAGGAGGAGGATCGCTTGAAGCCGGGAGTTCGAGACTAGCCTGGGCAACAAAGCCAGACATATTTCTACGAAAATGTTTCTTAAAAAATTAGCTGGACTTCGTGGCTTATGCCTGTAGTCCCAGCTACTCGGGAGGCTGAGGTGAGACTACTTGAGCCCAGGAGTTTGAGGCTGCAGTGAGCTGTGATCGTACAACTGTCCAGGCAACAGAGACAGAACCTGTCTCAAATAAATGAATAAATAAATAAATAAAATAATAAAATAATGCATGCAATTAGTACATTAGTACATGATCAGGCACATGATAAATGCTCGATAAATGGTAGCCCCAATAAGCTTTGTAATGTTTTGGGAGAGAGTGTCCTTTGGACTCAGCCCAGTGACAGAAGCATTTGAAGAGACTGATGTGTATGATGGCTATTTCCTACAGGTACAAGCCTGTACCTCCAGGGACCCAAGGCATTGGCTCAATGGGGCACCTTGTTCTATTTACTCTTGGTTTGGTCGGCACTGATTGCCATAGGGCTGAGCAGGACTGCCACCACTGATTGCCAGGAGTATCCCCTCCCCAAACTAGCCATAGGAAAGCCACTTGCATCATAAGACTACAGGAAATGAATAAAAAGCAAAATTTAGTCACCTACTCTCCAGTTGATGGGCAAAAGGTTTTTGTTATTTTGAACAGAGCTGTTAGGAACATCCCTTGTCCACATACCCTGTTTTAGATAGGCAAGAATTTCTCTTGCATGTAGAGCAGAATTGCTAGGCTGGGAAAAGTGTGAATATTCAACCTTATGAGATGGAGCCAAACTGTTTTCCAAAGTGGTCATACCAGTGTATACTCCCAGCAGCAGTTCTTAAGAGATCTCAGGATCTCTATCTTCTGGTGAGGTCACAAGCAGTCAAAAAGAATGAACGCCAGCTATAAACAACAATAAGAATCTTAGCAATATAATATTAAGTGAAGAAACACAAATTCTAGAAGGATGCATGCAGCATACTTTATATAAATTGGAAAAGAAAATGTATATATATAGGCCAGGCATGGTGGCACGTGCCTGTACTCCCGGCACTTTGGGAGGCCAAGGTAGGAGGATTGCTTGAGGCCAGGAGTTCAAGACCAGCCTAAGCAACATAGCAAAACCCTGTCTCTATAAAAACTAGAAAAATTAGTCAGATGTGGTGGTGCAGGCTTGTAGTCCCAGCTACTCATGAGGCTGAGGTGGGAGGATCTCTTGAGTTTAGGTGTTTAAGGTTACAGTGAATCATGATTGCACCGCTGTACTCCAGCCTGGGCAACAGAATGAGATCCTGTCTCTAAATAAATATATAAATAAATAAGTAAAATTTAAAAACAAAATATGGGCCGGGAGCGGTGTCTTACGCCTGTAATCCCAGCACTTTGGGGGGTCGAGATGGGCAGCTCACGAGGTCAGGAGTTCAAGACCAGCCTGATCAACATGGTGAAATGACATCTCTACTAAAAATACAAAAATTAGCTGGGCGTGCTGGTGCACGCCTGTAATCCCAGCTACTTAGGAGGCTGAGGCAGGAGAATGGCATGAACCTCGGGGGTGGAGCTTGCGGTGAGCTGAGATCATGCCACTGCACTCCAGCCTGGGTGACAGAGTGAGTCTCAAAACAAAACAAAACAACAGCAAAAAAAAACCTCAAAGATCACTAGTGGCTATTACCAGCAACCATATGTAAAGAAATAGGAAAACCTACTAAAAATGGGTAAATTTCTGAACACATCCAGACTACCAAGATTGAACCAGGATGAAATCCAAAACCTGAACAGATCAATAACAAATAATGGGATCGAAGCAGTAATAAAAAGTCTCCCAGCAAAGAAAAACCTGGGACCTAATGATTCACTGCTGAATTCTAGCAAACATTTAAAGAAGAACTAATACCAACCTTACCCAAACGATTCCAAAAATAGAGAAAGAGGGAATACTTCCAAACTCATTCTACAAGGCTGGTATTATCCTGATACCAAAACCAAAGATACATCCAAAAAAGAAAACTACAGGCCAGTATCACTGATGAATATTGATGTGAAAATCCTCAACAAAATATTAGCTAATTGAATTCAACAACACATTAAAGTTGGGTTGCGGTGTCCCAGGTTCACTCAACACTTCCCATTTTCCTTGCTGTGTGTGTCTACTTTGCTGTGTTCCCTGGTGGCAGCGGGGGTGGCAGTGTTGGTGTGTGGGCCTCCCAGGACAAGGGGAAAGTGAGTGTGCCCTTTTCTTGCCTCTTGCCAGGCGTCTGCAGCCTGGCACAAGCTCTGACCAGGTCTTCAAGCAAGGGACCTGGAGATGTTCTTTTCCAATTTCTGGATTGGTAACTTGAGGCAAATTCTGGGCACTAGAGCCAGAACTAAGAGGACACTTGAATTAGGGGGAGTCTGGGGTCCTGAGAAGTAGAGTCCTGAAACTGTCTACAGCATGTGGGGAGCTGGGTGTGTGTTCAGGCCAGTTGCTTCTCTCTGTGCCTCAATGTTCCAGGTACCCTTGGAGGGGCTGAGATCCTAGGGATTCCTGGAGCCTGGCTGCATGGCCTGGCCACCCTGATGCCCTTGTGTTCTCCATGACAGGACAGCAAGGCCAAGAAGAATGGCTCCAACAGCTTCATGCACTCCATGGACCCACAACTGGGGTGGCAAATGGAAACCACCCAAAACCTGGTGGACTCCTACATGGCCATTGTCAACAAGACCGTATGGGACCTCATGGTTGGTGTCATGCCCAAGACCATCATGCACGTCATAATCAACAATGTGCATGCACTGCCCCCTGGGGCCTCCTGTGGCACTGGAGATGCTGCTGGCCATGTTGGCCTCAGGGAGATGTTGACCAGCCCTATGGGACCAGGTTCAGGGAGAGAGGCATGGTCCAGACCAGAGCTGTCTTATAGAAATATAACATGGGACTGAGGACAGTGGCCCATGCCTGTAATCCCAGCACTTTGGGAGGCCATGGCGGGAGGATAGCTTGAGCCCTGGAGTTCAAGACCAGCCTGGGCAACATAGTGAGACCTGGTCTCTACACAAAAATTTTAAAAATAGCTGGGCTTGGTGGTGGCACGTGCCTATAGTCCTAGCTACTCGACAGGCTGACATTGGAGGATCACTTTGAGCCCAAGAGGTTGAGGTTGCAGTGAGCGGTGATTTTGCCCACTGTGCTCCAGCCTAGTAACAGAGCGAGATCCTATTTCCAAAAAAAATCAACAACAACAACAACAACAACAAAACTAAGTAGACAGATGTCATGGTGGCATGATAGGTCCAGGGTCCCCTCCCAGATCTGTGACCTTGGACAAGTGACTTTTCCTCTGGACCTCAGTGTCCCTATCTGAGTGAGAAAAGGGCAGTGGGGAGGCAGATCTTTCAGTCCAAGTGGTGTAAAAGCCGCATCTGAAGAGTCATACTCAGGGCACAGTCCCAGCAGGGCCCGGCGGGAGGCCAGGGCAGCACAGGCATCAGGTCCCAAACTCCTTCCCTCTTTGCCCACTCTCAGACCAAGGAGTTCATCTTCTCGGAGCTGCTGTCCCACCTGTACTCGCGTGGGGACCAGAACATGCTGATGGAGGAGTCAGCAGAGCAGGCACAGTGGCGCGACGAGATTCTGCACATGTTCCGTGTGCTGAAGGAGGAGGTCAGCATCATCAACTACGTCAATGCGACCACCATCAGCACACCCACGGGGGCCTGTGGACGACTCCTGGCTGCAGGTGCAGAGCATCCTTGCCAGATGCAGGTACCAGGGCTGGCTCCCACGGCCCCAAAACCCCCCAACCTCCATGGCTGAGCCTGCGGGCTCTGGGAACAGGCTCTGTGCCCAAGCTGGCAGACATGGGTGCTCTCTGGAGCCATCAGAGAGCTCGTGGTTTACGGTGTAAGGGCTGAGAGCTTGGAGAGGCTTGTGTGTGGGGTTGTACTCTGAGGTGGCCAGAGGCCTAGGAATGTCATCCTGGGCACACCGTACCTGTTGTGCAGTCTGAGTCATGCTGCCACGGGAGGCCATCCAGCTCCCAGCCTGGGAGTGCTGAGAGCCAAATCCACAGCAGAGCAGGGGTGATAGTCAGGGTCTCACCTCTTCTATCTGTCGGCAATTCAGTGGTGATTGAGGATAAAACCTCGAGAGTCCCATACACATGATCAACCCACAACACACCTCACAGGCCAGGCAGGGACACACAGCCCTCTTCTCTCCCTCCCAGGTACCATCATAGCTGCTAGCTTGTGACTGAATGCAGGGTCCCTGGCCCCCTCTGATGCACTACCGCCAGCCAGCAGAGTCACGCACCTTGGCCTGTTGCTCGTAGAGGTCGCCTCTGCTATTCAGCCAAGGGGACCACAGTGCCTGCTGGCCCGGCTGAGCTCCGCCCAGCAAGCCCGCCCACCTTCCTTGCCATGGAATCTCCCTCTTCTGCTTTTCCCAGCAGGAAGGGCCCAGCCTCACTTATGTAACCTGCAACCCCCAACAAGCTGAGGCTCCCCTCTTAGACTTATAAGTCTATAGCCAGTGGCATCCAGCTGCCTGCCCTCCCTGCCTTCCCCAGGGTCCTTTCAGAGGGTCCTGGGCTTTCTGACTGCCCAGAGGGGGCTCCGGCGATCACCCCAGCCATCCATCCCTTTTAACTTCATAGTCCTGGTGCAAGCAGTGTTCCTTCTCTATCAGGCCTTGTGGCTGTTGTGTTGGGCTCCCAAACACGAGAGGTGGCCCAGGGCCAGTGGGTTGGAAGACAGGGTGACCAGAGAAGTGGGAAGCCCGATGGGCTGAGCACTGGGTCTGAATGGTGGGTGCACTGCCTGGGTGCTGTGGAAGAGGCCAGCGTGCGTGGGTTGGGGAGGGCCGCTGCAGCCCCCAGGCACTACCTGTGAAGCTCCGGCTCCTCCCTCCATCTTCCTCCCCTCTCCCCTTCAGCCCCTCTTTTCCAGGAACCTTGCCACACCCGCACCTGCGCCCTCCCCTCCCCAACCCTCCCACAGCTGCTGTGGCACACCTGTGCTCTGCACTTACCTCACCAGCTCTCTGCTCACTTTTCTCCCTCCTGTTTTCTCTCTGCTTTCTCTCCAACTGCCAGCCGATCGGGTCCGGCAAGTCCATCCCATCCTCAGAGCCCAGGCACCCCTTTGACCTCTAAACAGATCCCTCCTCTTCTCAGAAGCCTCCCTTTCCAAGCCTGCCTGAGTGGGTGTTCTGTGACTCGACAGTGGCTCCCCCAGCCCCAAAGCCAGCCCCCTACATCTGTGACTTAGTCTGTTGTAGTGGTGAGCGGACACATCCAGGTGTGACCATTGCTGAAAACTTGTGCCCACTCTGTGGTACGCCCCTGCCCTGGTCTATAAATATCTATAAATACCTATACACACACACACACACACACACACCTATATAAATATGTATAAATACCTATAATATAAATATATATATACACACACACACAAATACACACACACACACACACGTACACCTACATGTGACTGACCATCTCGCCTCTAGTGCTGGGAATCAGTCACCGTGCTGTCCTTTTGGACTCTTGTGGCCCAACAAGAGAAAGCTGTCCCCTGATATTGCCCCTCCAAAGTGCACCACCTCCAGAGAACCTCCCTGTCCTGCCCGACCTATGGACAGCCAGCCCCTGCCATCCCTCCCTGTGCAGGCAGCTGTGTGGCTTGACAGTCTTCACCAGTCCTGCTGTCCCTCGGCTGAGAATCAAACCCATTTCTGGACGACGGGGAAATGTGTCCTCTGCTGACTGCGTTCTCTGTGGAGCTCAGAGGAAGGGAAAGGCCAAGCCATTTCTAGGGTGCTTTTGGGAGCGGTGAAAAGGCCATACCCTTAAGGGACACTTCCTGGAAAGCCCCTGGAGCTTAGTTGGCTCTTATCCTGTGAAGCTGGCTCTGGCCAACAGGGGGCAGGGCCATGAACTCAGCCTGGAGGGAGCCTGTGAGGCAGCCAGCGGACACTCTGGAGGGACAGATGGAACAGGCCACCAGGTGCAGACAGGCGAGGGAGGCGAGGGGATGGGACGGAAGATGCCTGGGGTGGGTGGAGGTCAGTGCCCTTAGGTGCTGGTACCTGTCTTCCCAGCCATGGCTAGATCAGGCTTCTGAGCCTGTTGTCTGTCAGGGCCGGACTGCGCCCCCTAGGTGCCATGGTAGTCCCGGTGAAATCCCCTAGGTGACACGAGGCAGCATACAGGTAACACGCCTGGAAGGTCCACAACAGCCCAGCTGGACATATTCAGACACTGGGACTCCTCCTTCAGTGGCACAAACTCCAGGACCCAGTGAGGGAAATGGGAACACACCAGGCCGAGCGGTATGACTAAATCCATGTATTCCAAATAAAAAGCAAAGTAAACAGGAGTCGAATCACCAGGGAGCCACAACCCCCTTCCCGCCTCCTTCCTCTGTCCTATGCCAGCAATAAATAAGTTTTCTAGCCACAAATAATTATTAGACCCTCCTCCCCATGTGCCAGCTCCAACCTCTGCTAGGTACGATACAGGGGTGGCCCTACCCTCTGGAATATACAAAACATTACGCAGACACAATATGTACATCGGGGAAGGGGGCCACCCCAGCAGCCTGTGCCCTCACTTGATCCACAGTTTGCCCCACTGTTCTGCCTCAGCTACCTCTCTGAATAGGAAGATGAGAGACCCCCTGAGGGAAAACTTGCTATGGTGAGAGTAAGGAGGCCATCAGGCTTCCTCCGAACAAACCAACTTCACCAGCCTCTGGCTCTTAAATAACAATCATCATCATTCAGAAATTTAAGGACTCAACCCTGGTCAAGGTGGCAAAGGGTCTGTTTGTCTTTCCCCATTAGACAGAGGTCGTGTGTTGCTACCCTAATTGTAACGGGGTGACTGGGAAGGGGTGGTAGGGACATGGTGGCGGTGGAGACTCCAGCCCCACTTCTCCAGGCTTTGCTGACAGGGGCCTGCTTTTAATTTTTATTTTTATCCCATGACTTTTTCAAAAATCCCGTGACTTCTTTTTCATAACTTTTTTTGTAACTTTTCATAAAACATTTTCTACTTTTTTTGCCACAACTTTTTAACACTTTTTAATCCCATAACTTTTTTACCCCATAACTTTTTTAATCCCATAACTTTTTTGTGTTCTTTTAATAAACACTTGCATAGTTATATTACAGTTTTGCAAAAATGAAAGGGTATCTCATGCCAAGCATGGCCAGTATTTGCTCAATATCAATACGTTTAATACTATAGTTTTCAAGACACACAAAATAAAATTTTAAGGCAAAAACAGCACTTTGCAACAATTTAATAGCTTATTACATTACAGTAGCATCACACCAGCAGTCAATAATGCCACTTTAGGCAAAAGTTTTTCAGTATTTCCATTATACATTCTGTTTACAATAATTCATAAATTGGTAAAATTTATTCTAAGAAAACTTGGCAACTAAAGCTTTGGACTGGAATGGCACTTCTTTCTCCACTTTTCCTTCCCACCATTTCTTTTAAATTACAGCATTCATATTTTAAAATGTTTCAACTTATTTCAGAACGTTAAGATAGCAGTTACATTTTTAATAGTTATTTTTTTTAAATGACTAAGATAAAGTTTTAGAGAAATTATATTATAGGTAGGGCTGGTTTATGTTTTCAAATTTTCTAAAAATCATCTTTGCTTTTAGAACTATTTTTTTTTTTCCATTTCTGGAAAACCTTGCAGGTTTAATCAAATACTTTAAAAATAATTATTATATATTGCAATCTTTAAATAGGTGTTTTGATTCTTCCTACAGAAATTCAAATTTATTCTGTTGAACTCACATTTAAAAATTCTATGTTTCTGATAAACTCTAACCTTCCAATGTTGCCTTCTAAGCAAATCAAAAGTGACCTTATACTGAATGAGGTAGAGCACAAATACTTGGCTGAATGAGGTATCACAAAAGACTGCATGCACTTTGAAGAAAGACTTAAGTTATTGTCATATGATTTCCATTGCTTTTAGCTTTCTCTTAAATATACGACAAATGCCTACACAAAGAGTGGTATTTCAGTTAATATGGTAAATTTATTTTCCAGACTGACATTCAGCTTAAATATGCCAGTATGTGATTTAATCCATAGGCAGCTGATGAACACATTATTGTCAGATTGGTTACAGATGCTAAATGCTATCTGAAGGTCATTCCTAGTCATTGATATTTATCAGGGTAAAAGTGAAGTGATTTCAATGATAAAAGTACCTTTGAAATAATTTATCAATGTATTGGATAAAGCCAGTTTCAGAATGATAAAGAAAAAACATTAGACCAAATAATGTGGCTAATTAACAGTGGTACAATTCCAGTCCGAGGGTTTAAAATTGACTTAAAGTAACTGTCTTTAAACTGAACTCAAAGAAGGCAAAAGTGGCAAGTTCAGAAAATAAAAGTCAAGAACAGGACATAGTTCACCCTTCGTAAAGAAGTTTGTGAGGAAATATAACTCTGTGATTGTATAGACATGTTTCCTGATAATACATTGACATTCACAAACAGTAGATTGCACTGCAGTTTGTAAACATTTTAAGTTGCATAAACTTCTCTTTGACTTTCAAAGATAGTATAATACTGTCTATTAAAACTTCTTTTTGTTTTAACTAAGTACTCTCACACATATTAGTTTATAATAATGTTTGTTATTATTTTTTAAAGTGTTTTCCACTAAAGGAAAAGAAGTAAATTCCTATGTCAGAGTAACCAAGGTGGTTGAAGAATAAGTATTAGCCAGAGAGGTCTAGATGGTAAAATCAATCTTCAAGCCTCAAAGACGCTCCGTGAACAGAGAGGAATGCCAGGTGTCACACAGCTTTCCTTCACTCTAATTCATCCTTGACTAGAGTCTGTATACCTGTTCCAGGGACATTTAAACTCTCAAAGGATTTCTTATGATCTTTACTAAATACATTAAGAAGAATGCCAACCAATGCCCTTTTGTGTACTGGGACATGTAGTCATGTGATTAAAACAGGTAACATGAACTCTTTTAAATGTATTATAGATACAAATGCTCTAAGCTAGGAAAGGTTTTCCACATCCACAATCAATGATGGGAGCCTTTCATTCCTCAGAAATAATCCCTTTTTAGGTCATCAAGAAAGAGTACAACTGCTGCAGCTCATGGTGCAATATCTTCATGAGCCCAGAGCACATACAAATCCTGAGGGAACTACCATAGTACAGCGCTCATTCTTGGCACCGGAACAAATGAAACGCACTCTATCCTGCACACACCTGCCAGAGCAGGCCACTTTCCTCTTCTGTGAGATTTAAAAAGCTCCCCCAAAATGTTATTACTCCCATCATCAATACACAGAAAATGGGGGAAAGGCTGTTTCCAGTTCTCGGCCTTTAAACAACTCTAAATGTCAGTACTCACAGTGGCATATTACAAAGTAATAAACAGTGCACACTTGAGGGCAAACCACATATTGAGCTAATGAAGGGCTCGCTGTGACTAAGATTAGGTTAAACAATAGCAGAACATAAGCAAATTAAATTCTGTAATGAATATACGTGCTGCAATAACATTAAAAAAGCATGGCAGGCTATTCCAAACCAGCAACAATAGTTTTGTGCAAACAGTGGGTCTTTGTGTGTTTGACCTCCCACCATGTAAGGGCAAACTCGATATGCATGCTAATGACCTACAATTATGAAGTTAAAAAAGAAAAATGCTAAAGGATGCCAGAGTGAACATCAGTGAAAGCCACAGAGACCCACTCTCCTTTAACTTTTTACAAATAAACTTAAACTATAAATTAGAAACACAAATAATCATGAGTGTCTCTAACATTCAAATGAAGTAAATGAATGGTATAGGGAATTAACCCCATAACTTTGTTTCCTTTTGTAAAATTTCTTGACCAGCTCTTTGATGATGGTGATGTTTATCTCCTTCTTCTCAGCAGCCAAGTCCAGCAAAAGCCCAAGCCTGGGTGCTCCTGGTGGTCCTGCACGATTGGCTGTGAAGTACGGTTGCCATGGGGAGAACCGTCCCTGGCCTCTCCTTGCGCAGGCTCCACGCTGTCGGTGAGGCTCACCTCACAAAGATCTTTGGAGAGAGGGAGGCGGGGATCTGAGCACAGTGGGAGCCTCCCCTGCCCCTGCCTGCCCATCCTGCCTGAGGACTCAACTCACCACCATGCTTGTTGGCAGCCCCAAGCTCCTGGGGGGCTGGGGCTCCTGGACTGGGCTCATCAGCAGGGTTCTGGGCAGTGGCCAGGAATTTGCTGTGCTCCTCGTTGTAGTCACCACAAGCCACAGCATCATCTCCTGCAGCTCCAGCAGCTTCACCTGGAGGGAGGGGTCCTCAACTGTCATGCTGCTGCCGGTGCCCACCCTCACACCCACCCCCAACCCCCACCCCCGCAGAGATGTTGCACACCCTACCTTCATCTCCTTGCTGTCCTGGGCCAGCCTGATGAAGTCCTCCTCCCGGTGCCGCATCTTTGGCACTATCCCCTGGCTCTACTATAAGGTGATGAACTTTCCTGTGGGAGGACAGGGCTCAGATGCTGAGGCCCCTCTGATGGCCCTGCAGCTCCCCCTGCCATGCCCTGGCCTCCTGCTCACTGACGGTGTCTGTCTTTCCAGTACTAGATGAATCGAAGTTCTTGTTTCTCCCCCAGCTCACTCAGGTCCGTCTTCTCCTCCAGGAGGTCCATAAAGCTGCTCTGGAGCCAAAATAATGGTGTCACATCTTGGCAGCGACCTGCCCCACCCCTGCCCTTCTTGGCCCATGCCAGGACTCACTCACCTCCAGCTTCTCCATGACCTCCTGCAGGGCCTGGTGGGTCTCCCCACTCACAGACTCGCCACCAGTCACTGGGGCTGGGATCACTGCTTCTGGCTCCTGTTGGGCAGAGGCCACCAGGTGAGCCAGGCACTGGCAGCACACTCTGTGCTCTTTCACCTGCTCTCGGAACTGTGCCTGCTCCTCCTGGGCACTGGCTCCAGCGGACTTGAAAAATGCCACCTGAGGGCAAGAGGTGAGCATTCTTGTGGGGGCATACACAGAACAAATGGGGCAGAGAGGTGGAGTGCAGCCCCTTCCCTTGGGGCCTCAGAAAGTGCACCTGTTGGTCACAGGTGAAATGGTGTCTGACCACTGGCTCCCAGATGGGGTGAGGGTCCAGAGAAATCAGAAGGCAGGGAAACCAAGAGCATAAAAGGGTCTTGGAGGGACCACAGAAGAAGATGGCAAAATGGGTGCAGGGGGAGTCAGGCTCACCATGGCCTCCCAGCTCTCCAGGTCCTCCGGGACAGTCAGCATGGGCCGAGGTGCCTCCTCCTCCTCACTGTCCAGATGTCCTCCTCCATCTCCTGTGGGGGTTGGCCAGAGGGGTCCTCAGACAACCCAACAAGGGAGGTACTGTGGGCCCACCTCTACCTCCACCATTACAGTATAACCCTGAGCCAGTCCCTACCCAGAGAGGAATAAGCTGTTGTTCTTTACTTTTACTTCAAAGAACCAAGATCTTGCTATACTGCCCAGGAACAGTCCCACTACTGGTTGGTGCGGGAGTTCTGACCTGCTCCCTTTCTGACCTGGGCCAGTTCAGCCATCCTTAGGCAACTTGGTGGACCCCGCTCCCAGGTGGTCACCATATTGATGCCGAACTTAGTGCAAGCACCTGGTCAGCATAATGACCAGCTGTTCTAAAGGTCTTTTCCAACTCCTCAATCCTATGCTGCTAACAGTCCCCCCTTCCTCCTGGGGCTCTCTTCTCTTCCTCTGAGCAATCTCTCATGCCTTCCCCTAGGGAGAGCCCTCATGAGGCTCAACTGGGCCTTTAGCTGCTGGTTCTGCAGCCTAGCAGCTTCCAGACGCTCCTAAGGGCCCAGGAAAGAGTGAGAAGGCACGGAGTTTGCCAGGTCATCCCCCTCACTGCCCGTCCTCAGCAGCTACCTGCCCTGGGTGTCCTGCAACTTTTGGCAGGCCGTCTCGGCCACCACTTTGCTCCAAGCTTCCTGCTGCTACAGGTAGTTCATTAGCTGGGTCTGCTGCAGTAACTACCTGTGCAGCACCTCCTTCTCAGAGGTCTGCTGCTGATAGGCGGACACCTGCTGCTGATAGGTGGCCACGTACTGCTGCAGGTGACCCAGGTGATGGTCTGGCTGCTGCTGCAGACTCTGAGCCTCTTGGCTCTTCAGCTCCACCTGCAGGAAGACCCTGGGCATGAGGGCATGTGGTGGCTGGCTTCCAGATTCTGGGCCCATTAATAGGGTAGCAAGGACCCTGGGGCTCTATTGCCTGCCCAGGCCCCTGGCCCCTTGCTCCAGGCCTAAGTGACGGCCTCCCTTTCCTAGAACCCCATGCCTCCTTCCCCAGCCTTGAATCTCATACCCTCTTCTCACCATTTAAACTGTAGGCCACAGACTGGTGGAAAAGCAGTGGGAGCCAACCACCATCTGCTAAGTGTGCTACATCCCTAGTGTTTGCCATGTATTATGTTATTTAATCCTCAGCACCTCTGTAAGGAAAATGCTAACTTCCTTTTGAAGTTAAAGAAACAGAGACTTAGAGATGCAAAGTACTTGAATGGTGACCAGTGGAACCAAGGCTGGAATCCAGTTTTAATCTAAGGAGTCTTTCTGTTTTGTTTGGAGACAGAGTGTCACTCTGTGGCCCAGGCTGGAGTGCAGTGGTGCAATCTCAGCTCACTGCAACCTCCACCTCCTGGGCTCAGGTGATTCTCTTGCCTCAGCCTCCTGAGTAGGTGGGAATACAGGCATGCGCCACTACGCCCGGCTATTTTTTCTTTGTAATTTTAGTAGAGATGAGGTTTTACCAGGTTGGCCTGGCTGATCTCAAACTCCCGACCTCAGGTGATTCTTCTGCCTCAGCCTCCCAAAGTGCTGGGATTATAGGCATGAGCAACCATGTCTGGCATAAGGAGCCTCTTATACCACTGTCTCTTACCCTGTGATTGGGGGCGCCATGTCTCTAGCTGGGATGATGATGTCCAGACCTGGGAGGAGCCCAGGGCTACCCACCTCAAAAAGTCAGAAGGCAGGAAGCAAGAAACAGTCACAGGACTGCCCTTGAGGGTGCTGGCATCACCTGCCCCCAGGCTGGAGCTGCCTTTGGCCTGGCACCTCCCCTCCCCAGAGGCTGGTGCTTGCTTCCCGGCCCTTCTTGGATGGGGCAGAGGTTACCGTTCCCTTCACCTCACCCAGCTTCTCCTGCAGCTCCTTTACCTGGTGCTCCAACTGCAGTGCGCTCTTGTTCTCATTGTTCTGGACAGACAGAAGCAATCAGCAGCCACCCACTGCAGCTGGAGACCCCAGAACTTGGTGTCTGCCTCCCATGGCACCGGGAAGGGTGGAGGCAGGTTAGAAAAATCATCTCCTCTCTCCCACAACCACCAGAGCAGAGCTCTGGCTCACAGGTGCCTTTAGAAGTAACATTTCACATGAGGGCTACACTGCCCCATTTTACAGGTGGGGAAACAAAGGCCTGGAGGGCTAGGGAGGAGGGCAAGCTCCCCAGGTGGGGCAACGCACCAGCTCCTTGAAGCCACTCTGTGGCTTGGCCAGCTGCTGAAGCCTCTTCTCTTGCTCCTGAAGCCTCTCTTTTTGCCCCCAGTTCAGGACACTTATGCGCTGATTGTTTTCCATCTGGGCTTGGAGTTCTCCTGCCATTCTCTCCAGTTGCTTCCTGAGGTTCTGCAGCTCCACCTCGGAGGGCATTGCTGGGGGATCTGGGAGCAGGGGTTCAGCTGAGAAAGGAAGCAGACAATAAGGGACTCTGGATTCTCAAAAAAAAAAAAAAAACCAAAACAAAACAAAAAAAAACCCTCCTCTTGGTGCATAGCTCCTCTCAGGCTCCCCAAACTTGGACTCACTGCAAATGATTCCCTGCACCCAAATGGTAGCCAATCTTCCAAGCCACTTTCAGATAGAGAGCACTGTGGGTGGCTGACACTGGGCCCTCTTTGCTGATGGGGACATTGAGGCTCATGGAGATGACAAGACTTGCCATCCCCTGGCACAGACCTCTTTCCCTCTGCCTCAAAGCCCTTCCATCCACTCACCTCCCTGGGGCACTCTAAGCCACCCCCAGGGCCCTCTGATGACAGGCCTGCTCCTAGGTCATTCCAGCCCCATCTTACCCCTCTGGTTTTTGAGTTTGCACAAGCTCCTCTCCCGCTTCTCTACCGGACATGTATCATGCTTCTTCTCCTTCTTCAATGTGCAAACCTGCCCAAAGCACAGTGGAAAATGGCCCTGGAGAGAGGGGCTGGTGGCTGGACAGGCTACCATCTCCCTCTCTGCCCCTACCTCCACAAAGCCCAGACCCATGACCACCTCCGGCTGTACTATTCCCACTTTACAGATGCCCAGAAAGATCCAGTGACCTATCTAAGGTGGAGGGTGGGGGGCTGAAGGGTCAGATCTCACCTCCTGCGACATTTTCCTCATCCTCTGCTGCCTCTGCTCTCCTTTTATATGTTGAGCATATTCATCTCTCTCTAGCTGGACTTGTTTAAGCGACTCCTTCAACTGCAAGAATGGGCAGAGAAGTTAAGAAGGGCTATCACTGGTCCTCACCTGCTCCTGGCCACCTGGGGTTATCTTCCACATCCCTTCCTCTGCAAAACCTCACCCATGTCAGGTGTGCTTTCAACCGTGCCTTCTCCTGTATGGACTGCTCTAACTGCCACTCAATAAGTGCTTTACTGAGGCTCGAGAACTGGATGGTGAAGAGTGAGAAGTTTCAATCTGGGGAGCCTGGGCCATTCCACACACTGCCCCCTAAAAAGGGCTAGGACTAGGCTCAATATACAACTTGGTCAGTAAAGATCAAGACATTTCCAAGCCCACGGTCTGGTTTTTAAAAGAACTCAGTCAAGTTGGAAGGGACAGGGAAAGAGATCGAATTTACAGCTGGCTAACGGAGGCCCTGAGAGATCAGATAATATTGCTATTGTTATTACTGTTATTATTACCACTGTTTGAACCTTTATGGAGTGCTTCACCAGGTACCATGCTAGCAATCCGATTTAATCCTTGCAACCAACATAGGAGACAGTTACTATGGTTACCTCTATTGTGTAGATGAAAAAAACATGGAGTATTTGAGGTTAAGTGCTTGTCTAAGATCACTTAGGCAGAGCTGGGATTTGAACACCCAGGTCTATCTGATTCTCTAAGCCCATTTTTCTTGCTGGAGGTGGTGGCACAGATAGGAAGGGGAAGATTAATCTTTTGTCCACTTTTTGAAAGGATGATACATTCGCATAGCCCAAAACTCAGAAGGTACAGAAGGGAAGTATCTCCCAGCCACACTGTTGCTCTCTCCTGAATTTTTTATGAACCCTTGCAGACATGTGTTATGTATATTATCATAGTGTGTACACACACACACACATACACACACACACGTTTCCTCTCTCTACAGAAATAGTAACATATTAAAGATACTCTTCTGTACTTTTGTAGTACAAGTACCCAATACCCCATCTAGGACTTGGCCAAGACCACAGCCAGGTAAGAGCTTGGCCTCCAAGCTCTGCGTCCAGTGCTCAGTCCCCACAGTGTCCCTCAACTCACCCATAGCAGCTGACTCAGCCCCAGGCTGTCTCTAACAACCACACAGAAAAGCAGTGGGAAAAGGCCATGCTGCGTTCTGGGCAGGACACTCCATCCTGCGAAAGGGAGCTTTAGGCTCACTCCTCCATCTGTGAAGCCAGGCTCTCAGGGGACAGGACAAATGGTTGAACTCACACTGATCTCCTTCTTCTCCTGTGTGGTGGTGACAGCAGAGAGCCCGCTCTAACTCTGCTATACGCTGCAATGAATGTTGCAGGTAGCCGGCCACATCCTTGGACTCATCTGTAATGAGAGAGTTGAGATGGGGCCCAAAGGACTCCCCCTAAAGACATGTCAAAGTACCAGGTTGAAGGATGACAGGGTGCCCAGATTCCTACCTTCATAGTATCTGAGAGAACGTTTCATGTGATACAGGTCTGTATTTAGTTTCCCTTTCTGTGTGTTCAATCTCTGGATTTGAACCTTTGGGAGAAAAGCCAAGCAAGTGCTGAAAAAGAAGGAAAGAAACATTCTCCGGAGGACAGGAGGGAACTGCACAGCCTCCACTCACCTCTAGCTCCCATTCAGCTTTGTTTCTCATTGTTTGCCTTCTTTTCCTACAGGAAGAGGAAGACAGAGCTCTTACCAGGGGGAGGCAGAGATGGCACAGCAAGAGACATGCTCCCAGAATGCCACCAATGCCCCAGGACAGGCCCACCCATGGAACCAGGTTATCAGGGACCCTGTGGGGATGGAGTGGAATCTGAGGGGTGAGCCTTCTTCCCCAGGCTGGGAGTGGGTGATACAAGACTGGGGCCTCTACATCTGAGTGCCCCCCAAACCCAGCAGTCATGTCACGAGGAAACAAAGAAATCATGTTACTACTTCCAGCTGATGTTCCACTTGTTTCTTCTGTTGTTTCTTTGGGGAGAGTCAAATTAAGGTGATGAAGGGTGGCCCCCTCAGCTCTATTCCTCAGACCAGGAAGAGTAGGCAGGGGCCAGCAATGGATTTTAAAGACAAAGTTCTCAGACATAATGGGAACACGAACTAGTAAACTCTCCTGAAACTCCCAAGGACAGAGGATTTGGGTCTTTGTTGGTTTTTGCCCACAGCCACAGAACTCAGTCTGAATCTGGAATCTCTTGAGAGGAGAGTAACATAAGCCTCTAGAGATGGAGTTTGAGAGAGGCCACCCCTTCTGCCAGCTTGTGATTTAGAAAAGTGCGTTCATTCAATAAACATTTACTGAGCACGTACGGACCAGGTACGGTTCTTCACAGTATATATAGGATGAAAAAGGACAGACAGGAGCCCTTGGTGCTGAGATTTCCATTGAAGGGGGCCTTTAAATCTCAGGCTCTCAGAGTTAACAGACACCTTTGATACTCACTACCTCCTGTGGAAACACGAACCCAAAAAGGAGAGGTGGCTTGTCCAGAATCAAACAGCAAATTAGGGACCAAGTCACAGCAGAAATACGGGGCCCCTGACAACCAGTCAGGCCAGCACTTCCCCGAGAGGCAAAAACCCCAGGGCGTGTGTAGCAAGGACTGGAGCAGGGGTGTCTGGAGAGGAGAGAGTCGGCAAAGAGGACAGTAAAAGAAGAGCCGTGCTGCATGCTCTGGGGTCCCTCTAGGTGAGGCCTGGGTGCCCCAGTTCCCATTTTGTACTTGGAACCAGGGTCCCCCAGCCCCTTTCTTCAGGACCCCAAGGGGAAACGAGCCCAGGATTGGCAGTGTGGAATCAAGGGACCCCACTGTATTCTTACCAAAGATTTGATGGTGTTATTCAGTTAACTGATTTTTACGGACCTCGAGTCCAGGACTACTGCTAGTTCTTGGCACAGGCTCTGAGGTACATGCAGCGAGGAGGAGGTGGAGGAGGAGTGGGGGGAGAGATAGAACAATCATTAGGGCTGGGGTGTGTGTGGGCTGTCTCAGCTGGCAGAGGGAGGAGGCTGGAGGGCTGGCCTGCAGGGTCACTGCACCTCCGCCCAGAGTCACTTACCTCCAGATCCTTCAGGGTAGCAGATGATGTAGGGCCCTCCCCGTGGATACCTCTTGCTGACTGCAAGAGATGAGAGTGCACATGGAGATGTTCTGTCCCCCTCAATGTCTAAGCCCTCTGACTTCCTTTCTTCCCCATCAACTGGCAACATTTTCTTTTCTGCCTATCTTGGGCCCTTTGTCCCATAACTCTTTTGTGCAAACTTCTCTCATGGTTCTTATCTCCCACCATCCCACCCTGGGGCCCTTTCAGTGAGTCCTGATGGCAAGTGGCTGTTCTCATTGTCCTGGCTTCCCCTTGAGACTGGGGATGGGGAAAATCAAACAGCAATGACCATATCCTGGGTGTCCTGGGTGTTTACAGCAGGCCATGTACTAGGGATTAACATAAAAACAACAATAACAAATCTCATTTAAACTTCACAAATGGAAGTAAAAAAATACCACCTCTATTATACAGATGTAAAAAGAGAGACCCAAAGAGTTCAAGCAACTTGCCCTAAATCATATCCCTAGCAGTCGGAGAGGCAGGATTCAAACCCAGAATTCCTTTTTTTTTTTTTTTTTTTTAAGATAGAGTCTTGCTTTTTCTCCCAGGCTGGAGTGTGGTGGCGCAATCTCGGCTCACTGCAAGCTCCACCTCCCAGGTTCACGTCATTCTCCTGCCTCAGCCTCCTGAGTAGCTGGGACTACAGGTGCCCACCACCACGCCCAGCTAACTTTTTTTTGTATTTTTTAGTAGAGAAGGGGTTTCACCTTGTTAGCCAGGATTGTCTGTATCTCCTGACCTCATGATCCTCCTGCCTCGGTCTCCCAAAGTCGTGGGATTACAGGCGTGGCCGATCATGCCCAGCCAAACCCAGAATTCTTAACCAGTACCCAACAGTCCATCCACAATCTTAACAATTACCCTGTACTGCCCCTTCGGCCCCCTGTCCCCAGGAACCTGGCCAGCCAAGACTCCATTCCCAGGTGAGTGGCAACCACCAGAAGTGGCTGTCTCAGGGCTACTGCCATTTGTTTCCTGTTCCTCTTTGTTCCTGCTGGAACACCAGGGTTGTTTCTCTGCCAATATTCTTTTAACTGTGGGAAAGAAGAGCAATAATACTCATGAGAACTATCAGCCCCTACGGCCACATCTTCCTTTACAGTTTTTACAAAATACTCTTATATACCATCTGATTTAATGATACCAACAACTGTACAAGGTGTTGTCACAATCATTTAGTGACCGAGAGGGATTGGTATCATGGCTAGAAAAAAACAAAAAAGAAAAAGGCGATAGTGAAACTTTGAAACTCAAGTCTTCTGACTCTAAGCTCTGGGGTTTTGCCAAGAATCAGCAGCCGCCAGGGACCAAAACCAGAGGCAGAGGCAGAAAAGTAAACATTAAGTGGCATGAGTTGTATGTCATGTGGTTTACAGTCATACATCCTCACATGTCTGTTAGTGTGGAGAAGTGTGACAGTACCTCTCAAACTTTTATATCAATGTGTCCGCATGGCAGAAGGCAGCCTTTCTGTTAAATCTGGGAATTTATCAGAAAGAAGACAACCCAAACCTCATTTCAGAGAGAAGTCTGGTATACTCTTAGAAACCTATGTGACTGTCATCCCTAAGTACATTAATGTTTTTTCTCTTGATCTCAAGAGAATCAAGGGAAACTGATGCTTCAGAAAGATGTCCCACATTTATCCTGTGGCACTCAGAGTACCCCAGGTTCAGATAATATGAGGAAGATTCCAGCTGTCAAGTTCAGTTTCCCAAGATCTATTCCACAGAAGATGAGCAAATCTCACTTCAGAGACCACTGAATGAAGGGCAGTCTGGTCCCAGAACCATGGAGAATTAGAATATGAGGTGGAGAACTCAGAAAAAAATAGAAGTAGAAGCCTGGAAAGTAGAAGCCTGGGAGAAAAACCAAACCAAACCCATCCCCCATTGCCACCCAGAGATACTGTTAATGTTTTGCACTCACGGGGGAAGTGTAGGCTTTCCCCATTGTCCGTGTCTATGTGAAGGGAGTGAGGCAGCCTGAAACCTCTTGCTCCTGGGTCCCATAGTCTCCATTCCCCTTCCAGCTGGAAATTTGTGCTGTGACCAGAGGAACCAGAAATGGGGTGACAACGCTTAGGGGACTGGATTGTAAGATCAAAGGCTGGTCTTGCAGTAATGACAGTTCCTAGGCAGATTGTGACCTCATTACATTCCACTCCTCCTGGTCGGGGGTAGGGACCACATCAGCACGATGTCCGCATTGCCACTCTACGATGGGGGAGGGAAACACCGGGTTGGGACCCAGGTCCTTGGAGATGCCAGTGCAAAGAGCCCAGGGAGGTCGACCTTGAGGCAGCAGGAGTGGAAGGCAGAGTCTGCAGCAGGGAGCCCCAGGAGTCACCAGCCCAAAGTCTCCCAGGGACAACTGGCCAGAGTGGGGCTTGGGGCTGCGGGACCCAGGTCCTTGGAGATGTGAGCCCAAAGAGCCCAGGGAGGTCGAGTTTGGGGCAGCAGGAGGTGAGGGCCCAGTAATGGAGCAGGAAGTCCCAGGAGTCACCCACCCAAAGTCACCATAGAGTGATTCGCGAGGTCAGGGACTGGGCTGCTTGATGAAGGGTGGGGCTGACTGACAAGACTTTGGTGGGGGGATCCCAGAGGCGCCGGGGTTGGGGGGCTCAGTTCGGTGTGCCTCAGGAGTGGTATGGATCCTGGCAGTCTGGTCGTCAGAGGGGATCTGTGGCTGGGTTGGGGGGCCATGACCTGGTGCATTTTTACCTTTTCCTTTGCTGCAGCCAATCTGCTCTTTCGAGTTTCTTCTGCCACCGCTGGGTGGGGAGGGAGGCAGGGTTGGGGCCACGTCAGTGAAATCCCAGTGAGCACTGATCAACACCTCCAGTCGCCTAACAGGCAGCTGTGGGACTGAGCCAGGCGTAACCAGGGCCCCAGTAGAATGCAGAATAGGGGCGTGTCCTTAATGCTGCAAGCCCATTGATCAATGAGAAAGATGAAAGGGAAAGGGGGCGTGGCCAGGCAACAGTGTGTCCAGAGGGACCTGTGGTTCACAAGGAAAGCTACCCACACAACCGCTGTCCCCGCCCACTCTGGGAGAGGGGAAGGGCCAGCTTTTGCTTTAAAACCTTTAAAATTTAAAAAAATTTATGTATGTATACTTTCTCTCTATATATGTGTGTCTCTGTGTGTGTATCTATGTGTGCCTCCAGAACTGTCTTCATTACCCAGCTTCTATGCAAGGTCTATGATTTTGGCCTACATTTTTCATCTTCAAATACAGCACAAAAATTACCAGTATTACCTTAACTGAGATACAGATCCTATAAAAATGGAAAATCCATAGCATGCTTGATGATTAATGAAGTAGACTATATTATCTAACATTCTGATAAGACAAAGTAATCACAATGATTTCTCTTTTTTAGGAAAATGTTTCTCTTATTCTCCTAGGTTATTGTTAAGTTTTTTTTCTTAAACAAGAAATATGTCTAATATCTGTAAAAAACACAAAGCTTTTGGGCCAGATGTGGTGGCTCATGCCTGTAATCCCAGCATTTTGCAAGCCTAAGGCAGGTGGATCACCTGAGGTTAGGAGTTTGAGACCAGCCTGGCCAACATGGTGAAATCCTGTCTCTACTAAAAATACAAAACTAGCCAGGCATGGTGGTGGGTGTCTGTAATCCCAGCTATTCAAGAAGCTGAGGCAGGAGAATCACTTGAACCTGGGACATGGGAAAATACAAAATAAATTTTAAAAGCTTTCAATTTAATAAGCACTCAAAGCTCTTTACCGGTTTAAAACAAATACAAGGCCCGGTTTTCTAGCATCACCTGTCCTCTCTAAGCCTTGCAAATGAAACTAAATTTCTCACTTGATGCTTGGCTATGACTTGCAATCATGAAAACTAAGAATTGTGTTATGTCACTGTGTACTGCTTGTTACTTGAATTTCACACAAAGCTGGGATCAAGGGTTGAATCTCTCATGATTTGCTCCATAACCTGTGTGCTTCTTATCCCAGACCAAACTAAGCTTTTGTCTAGAGTTCTATAATTTACAGGTAGTAGACAAGAGTGGTTCTCAGTAATGTAGTCTCTGCACTAGCAGCACCAGAAGCACCTGAGAACTTTTTAGTGCAAATTCTCAGGCCCTACCCTGGACCTGGTGAACCAGAAACTCTGGAGTAGGGCTTTGCAATCTGTGCTGCAGTCATCCCTCCAGGTATTTAAGAGTGTCTGCCATACAGCAGGTAGAAAAATGTGTTTCCTTCTGTAGGTCCAAAGCCAAGGCTACTATATGTTCTATCTCGATATGAAACAATGACATACAATTAAAACACATAACTCTCCTTCCTATTCCCACCCTCCATCCAGTGTGTTTTATTTTTATGAGTTCAATAAGAAAACAAGTGGCAATCAGAAGTTTAGTCTAAAAAGTATATTTACAAGTATTAGTTCTCATCCAGCCTGATCTCATACAAGACTATTTACATCCTCTTATAGCTAAAGTTTTATAAAATTATCTTCACAATGTAAGTCTCAGGCACACTAGGAGTTCTATAATAAAATACCAAGTAGATCAGAATGTCCAAACTTACTAGAGAAAAAAAGTGGAATCATTGGCTATATTTCTAAATTGCATTCAAAGGAAAATTAAGTTCTGAATTTTTTTCACCTTCATGCTTCCAAATTAATAGAATTCAACCAGAACACTCCATTTCTTCAAAGCCTCTAGCCAGGCAGTTTTACTTTATTACTTCTTGCTTTCAATGGATATAGGCAGAGTCCTGGTAGGCACATTTTGTATACCTGCAAAGGTGCAGAACTAAACTGTTCCATCTGTTCCATGTTAAAACAAAAGTCCTGTAAACCTTGGATGGTGAGTGTAATACTTCAGCACTAGCACCAAAGCCTCAAGCATGAAAAGATACCAAGAACACC